TCCCAATTCATGTACTGTCCATCTGAAACACATTGGAAAGCACTCAAACGCGTGCTTAGGTATCTCCAAGGAATGATTCAGTTTGGTCTCCGCATACTCAGACGCAATGATTTCAAGCTTCACATGTACACTGATGCGGATTGGGCTACACTGATGCGGATTGGGCTGGAGATGTGAATGATCGAACCTCCACTACAGGTTATGTACTGTTTTTTGGATCAAATCCTGTGTGCTAGTCATCCAAGAAACAAAAAAAACTGTTGCTCGCTCATCAACGGAGGCTGAATATCGTGCAGTCGCCAGTGCACTTGCTGAAATTAATTGGGTAACGAACTTGTTGAAAGAATTATACATTCCTGTTCTGCACGCACCAACCATTTACTGCGACAATGTTGGTGCAACATATTTGTGTGAAAATCCTATGTTCCACAGCCGCATGAAACACATTGCTGTGGACTTTCACTTTGTTCGCAAGCAAGTGCAGCAAAGACAAGTTCAGATTGTCCACATTCATTCAGCAGATCAGCTCGCGGATACTCTCACTAAAGCACTGCCCAAGGCATCTTTTGACAATAACTTATTCAAGCTAGGCGTTGTTACACACCGCCTACCTTGAGGGGGGTGTATTAGCACATATGCAGCAGTAGCAGTTACACTTTTACCTCTTATTTAGTTGAGTTGTTAAGATTTAGTTCCTACTTAGTTGCTAGTTTTAGATTACAATAAGTCTCTTATTTAGGGGAGTTAGTTTTGTTAAGTTGTTACGTTCTCCTCCATCAGAGGAGTTAGCTTAGGGAGTTAGTTATTTGCTTCTTGTATTTAAAGGTCATTGAAGACTCAACAAAGATCATCACTTTCAAGCCTTTACTTTCAAGTCTTTATAGCTAGAAGAAATGTAATCGAATAGAATAGGCTTTGGTACTCTCTCTGACCCTTTGAGTGTCTGATTGTGTCCTTCACAATCTCTTGTAAATCTTTTACACATTTATATAATTGTTACCATTCTCAAAAAAAAAAAAATGTACCAAACAAGGTATTAGTAATGCATAGAGCTAATGCTTGCATTATTTTTCTAATGCATCCTACCAAACGAACCCTTACTGTCTTTCATTTTTCCAAGTCAACAACAACAACAACAATAAAAAGCTAAGTGTAATACCACATGTAGGGTCTGGGGAGGGCAGTGTGTATGCAGATCTTACCCCTACCTTTAGAAGGCAGAGAGGCATCTTTCACTTTTCCAAGTATGAAAAAAAGTTCTTTTGTAAAGTTTGTGCTCATATTACCATGTTTATTTATATGTATATATATATATATGTGTGTGTGTGTGTGTGTGTGTGACTTGAATTATTTTCTTGTATTTTTAGGAAACCCATAGTCCCTACAGGTTTAGGAAAACCCATTGTCCTAATAGATTTGGAAAAGGAAAACCTATAGTCAATGTCAAATTGGGAAACCTTTCTCTAATATGTTTGGGACCTTTTTGGGATCTATATATAGGGGTTGTAGTTGGGGATTCTACAGATTGTATTGTGCTTTTCTTCTCATTCATAGTGGAAAACTCTCTCTGTTTTTGCCCCGAGGATTAGGCTTAGTCGAACCTCGTTAAATCCTTGTGTTGATTTTTCTTCTCTATTTGCTTTGTGTGTGATTATGTGCTAGTTAACCCACGATATTCCGGAATAATTGTTATCAGAGCAAGGTTCGGGTTTCTACATATAATCTAGGGTTAAGATGTCTTCATATCTTCAACAAAGTACGAAGTAGAGAAATTTGATGGGCGTTCTAGTTTTAGTCTATGGAAGATTAGGATGAAATCGTCCCTGGTGTTACAAGGGTTATGGAAGGCAATTGATGAGGATTTTCCTGAAGAGATGAAAGAGACAGAGAAGGCAGACCTGAAAGAGAGGGCTTTGAGTGCGATCTTCATGAGCGTTACAGATAGCGTTCTTCGGGAAATTGCTGAACAAACTTCTGCAGCAATGGCGTGGAAGAAGCTGGAAGATCTGTATTCTAAGAAATCGCTAACAAACCGCCTCTACCTGAAAAAGAGGTTATACAATCTTCGTATGAATGAAGGTACACTTGTTAAAACTCACATTGATGAGTTTAATTCAATTATAATGGACCTGAAGAATGTGGGTATCAAAATTGAGAGTGAAGAACAGGCCTTGATTGTGTCTTACCATCGTCTTACGATACTTTTGTCGATAAGCTGCTATATGGGAAAGACAGCATTTCACTAGAAGATGTTAGTAATGCACTAAAATCTAAAGAGTTGAAAAAGAGCTTTCCAGACAGCAGAATTGAGGGCGAGGGTCTTATGATCAGAGGAAGAACACAACAAAAGGACTTTAACAGGAAAAAGTCAACCGCTAGATCAAAGTCTAGAGCAAGGAAGCAACACTGTTATGAGTGCGGGGAGCAAGGTCACTACAACAGAGATTGTCCTAAGCTGAAGGAGAAAAGAGGGAAGCAGAAAATAGATAATTCGGCAAAATATTGTTGACACTGGCAATAATTCTGATGATAGTGACTATGTAGAGGAAGTCTGTGCTGTGAGTTCTAGTCATGGGCAGAATTCTTGGGTTCTTGATTCTGGTGCTACTTTCCACATGTGTCCACACAAGAATTGGTTTGCAACTTACAAGCAAATGAGTGGGACTGTCTATATGGAAGATGATAATCTATTACCAGTAGAGGGGGTTGGTAACATCAAATTGAGAATATTAGACGGAATTATCAGAAACATTGAGTGTTGGCATGTTCCCCGGATAAAGAGAAATTTGATTTCTCTTTCGACTTTGGATGATCAAGGGTATAAATTTCACTCCGAGAATGGAATACTTAAAGTGTGTAAAGGCTCCATGGTACTACTCACGAAGGGTAAACTACATTCTAAATTGTATCATCTTCGGGCCAGTGTAGTTGAAGGGGAAGCTGCTGTAGCTTCTGGGAAAAGTGATCTGAATCAGTCTCAGTTGTGGCACTTGTGACTTGACCATATGAGTGATAATGGATTGTCTTTGTTGAGTAAGCAGAATTTGCTGAATGGGTACAAAAATCAAGTTTTGAATTTTTATGAGCATTGTGTGCTTGGTAAACAGACAAGGGTAAAGTTCATCAAGAATGGCCGAGCACAAGACCAGAGACAAGTTAGATTATATACACTCTGACTTGTGAGGTCCAAACAGAGTTGCCTCCAAGAGTGGTGCCAGGTATTTTATGACTTTGATTGATGATTACTCAAGGATGGTGTAGGTGTATTTTCTGAAAACAAAAGATGAGGCATTTTCGACATTTGTTAAATGGAAGACGATGGTTGAGAGGCGGACGAAAAGAAAAGTTAAGCGTCTTCGAACTGACAATGGGTTGGAATTTTGCAATTCTGAGTTCGAGGCATAGTGAGACACCGCACTTGTGTCAGAACACCACAACAAAATGGTGTTGCAAAACGTATGAATAGAACACTTTGTGATAGGGCACGAAGCATGCTTTCACACTCTCGTGTTAGCAAAGATTTTTGGGCTGAAGCAATCAATACAGCTTGTTATTTGGTCAACAGATCTCCATCCACAGCTATTGAGTTCAAAACTCCTTTTGAGGTATGGTCCGGTTCGCCTGCTGATTACTCAAATTTAAGGATGTTTGGTTGTCCTGCTTATGCTCATGTGAGAGATGGAAAACTTGAGCCGAGGGCAAAGAAGTGCATATTTCTAGGGTATGCAACTGGAGTGAAAGGTTATAGGTTGTGGTGCACAGATCAAAAGACTCCAGGGCTAATTATCAGTAGGGATGTAACATTCAATGAATCTGCCTCACTGGACAGTCGGAGGGAGAAGGCAATAGCAAAAACAGATCGTGGTGTCAGTGACCGCATAAAGCTAGAAATTGAATCTCCACTAGCTCAGCCCAGTAGTTCTAAAGTAGAGGAAGTGGAGTAGGTGCAAAATATTGATCAAGATGATAATGTTGATACACCTGCGCAATAACAACCATATGGCATTGCAACAGGCAGAGTGAAAGAGTGATCAACCGACTGCAAAGATTTGCAAACGTAGGTGATGAGAATCTTCTTGGACTTACGAATCCTATGGGATTTGCTTTGGCAGTTGCAGAGATCGTTGATGCGTTTGAGTGTTATAGCTATCCAGAAGCTATTCCGGGTACAGAACCAAATCGACGGATTAGTGTTATGGCTAAAGAGATCGAGTCTCTTAATAAGTTTAGGCGTTGCCTAGACTTGGTTGATGTGTGTGGAAATGGATAGAGCCCTTGCGAGGGCTAAGGGCAAGGTAGAGAGACGTTGTTCAGAATTCAAGCCAAGGGGAAGATTTGTTATTTGTGGCTTGAATTATTTCCTTGTATTTTTAGGAAACCCGTAGTCCCTATAGGTTTAGGAAAACCCATTGTCCTAATAGATTTGGGAAAGGAAAACCTATAGTCAATGTCAAATTGGGAAACCTTTCTCTTATATGTTTGGGACCTTTTGAGATCTATATATAGGGGTTGTAGTTGGGGATTCTACAAATTGTATTGTGCTTTTTTCTCATTCATAGTGGAAACTCTCTCTGCTTTTGCCCCGAGGATTAGGTTGTGTTGATTTTTCTTCTCTATTTGCTTTGTGTATGATTGTGTGCTAGTTAACCCACGATATAATAAATATATATATATATAATTTTAATATTTTTGAATTTGTTACAATTTTTTTTGTGATTTATATGCTTATTTTATTAATGTATAAAATAGTAAACAATAAATATCTTGGGACTTATGCTCCTTCGAGGCTTACGCATTACCTCACGCCTGTGCCCTTTAAAACACTACATTTATTATACCATCAACCTCATGTCATCAAGGGCTTTAAAGACCATGACCATAGCATAGTTTGTCAAGAAACGGATGCCAACTAGCAAGATGTATGTAGAAACAGTGCATAAAAACATCTAATCAACAAGACAAGCACAAGTGATACAAAACTTGCTAAATAGATCTAGTACCTTCCATCACCTAACATAAGGCATCTCCTTTTCAATTTAGAAATGGCAGTCTCTGCACCGTCACTTGATTTGAAGATAACAAATGCTTTCCCTGCAAGTGTTTATTCTAATAAGAAACATCGAGTTCGCTGAATTTTTTTTTTTTTTTTTTGCTCCACGACTTAAAGAAGAAGATACACGATAGCCTACCATTCAATGGATTTGAGAAGGTACTATGTTGCACCATTTTTGCACTAACCTTTTGCTCCAAGGCACGCCTGACAATATCCTGGAGGACAGTTGATGAGTAGCAAATTTCAGAGCGTTTCAGAAGTATTTTAAAAGAGTAGCAATTTGTGTTTGGCTAAATCATTTGACAAACATTTTTCTCAATATTAGAAAAACAACATGTTTGACCAATCATTCCAAAAAATATTTTTAATTGTCAAATTACATGTAAAGATTCACTTTAAAATTAGAACTTCCTATGTTCGAATTTATCTGATGTAGTTTAACTCAATGCGGGATTTAAAAAAGAACTAAAGATTTTTTGAAACATATGGCCTTAAATATGCCATAACATTTGTGTGGCTATAAACCTTTTAGAACTTATAATCTTAAACATAGAGTGGCTATAAAGGCTTCTCATTAAGGATAAAGGAAAGTTTAAAGTTACATGATTTCCTTATATAGAAATACAGTCAAACCTCTCTATAACACCCTCGTTTGTTTCGAAATCTTTTGGCTACTATAGTGAAGTGTTTTTATAAAGGACATATATTATAACATAATATAATATTCGGTTCCGACAATAACTCGATTTTTATAGTGAATGACTGTTATATAGTGTATGTCATTCTTTTTGGTTTTTATTAATAAGGAAGTACTGTCACATTAAATAGAACAAAGGGAGTATTATTTAAATAAATTAATGATCTTAAATATTAATTATGAGAGAATATAATTAAGTTTTTCAATTTTATCTCAGAGACATGCAAGAAACGAGAGTGTGAGAGACATATTGATTAAATTAAGGAGGGACAGTTTGGTAATATAAAATTTTGATAAGGGTATTTTTTTATCATGAAAAAAAAAAAATTGGCTTCAAGGAAACTACAAATTTCTGCTTTATGCAACAACAAAAGAAAAAAAAATTGCTTCTACTACTACTCACATTAGCTCGTTTGGCCAAACTTCCAAGATTTGCTTATTTTGAAAAGTGCTCTTTGTCACAAGTGCCTTTCAAAAAGTATTTGGGAGTATTGCAACAATTTGTGCCTTTCAAAAAGAATTGCAACAATTTGTGCTTGGCCAAAGTTCCAAAAGTGCATGAAAAAACTGCTTTTTTCAACTTCTGAAAAATTGTTTATGCTACTACTGTATTACTCTTTTTTCTCCTAAAAGCTTGGCCAAACACTTAATTCTCTAAAATAAACACCTTTAAAAAAATAAGCACTAAAAAAACACTTTTGGCTTCCCAAAAGCTTAGTCAAACAAGCTAATAATCCTCTTCTTCTCAGAAGCTTAACCGCGTAGGTTAACTCACCAAAATAATGATTTTTTAAAAGGAGAAAGAGTAACTTCTCCGGTCCAAACAAGCTTCAAAGTCTCCCGAGTCCAGTAGATATCAACTTAAATAAAATATCTGAATAATTCCGTAATGTTATAATTTCATTTTCCAAGCTTTTCACTTTTTCCTCTTCTGACAGAGCCGTGGTTCACTATGTTTTTTTAGGGATAAGACTACCCTCCCCACTAATAGACTCACTAACGATAGTGGCTTGAAGATGAAAATTAACATGTGTTAAAGGGCTGGCATAACAAAGTTAAGTGAAACAAATTTGTATAACAAATCTGAAGCTAGATGCAGTAATCTTGGTTAACCTAAGTTGATGTAAGGATATTCAAAAGTTTGCTTGAAATTTTCCCGAGGAATAGCAATAATTTTAAAAGAAAAGTTCATGTAGAATACAAGAAATGTAATTCAGGTAAAATTTATATCTTCATCCAAAAATAAAGAAGAAAATAGAAAGAAAAGGGAACACAAGCATTCACCGCATACATCTGGACTTACAAGAGCTTTAGAAACAATACTCCCGAATAAAAAATGGAAATATATGAATGTCTAAATAATGAACTAATGTAAGAGTGACACCTAAAGAAACATTTCTATTTCAATTTTCATTACTCAAAAGGGCAAAATAAAGCACATAGTCAACTTGAAAATAGTTTAGTATGTACCTCCACTTCTGCTGATGTATATGAAGGATCAAGATTCTCAAGCAACACAAGTGTGCCTCGCTCTTGAGCTACATGGAGTCTTTCATTCCATGGCTGGATGGAACAAAATAGCATATGTAAATCACAAAATATAGAGTAAATAACTGCTTTGAGGCTAAAAAATATCAATGTATACAGATTCATGAGAACAGAAGCAGCACTTCGAGGAAGTCCCAGTAAAGTTTAGAGAATCGAAAGGAGCAGTTGGCAAAGTAGTCAAAGACAAAAAAGAAATGAGGAAAACAGCAAATAGGTGCCTCCTCCCTGAGCAGCTATGCAAAAGTTCATTGTAAAATAACTAAAAATGCCGCATGGAACTACACATAAGAGCATGATTTAAAGTCTTTTAATCTTTAGAGTACCCTTTTTCTCTTCCCTATCCAAAATGACCACATAACAGCCAAAACATAGGTGACGGTACAATGTCTACTCCTATACTTCGTCCAGTATAGAGTAGAGTGCTCCACGGTCTAAGACCCAACTAAACCAACAAATTGTAGTAGTAATATTCAAAAATAACAGAAACTTCGCATGATATTTTTTCTTTTTATAGTCATTTTTGGACAGGCTGGGTCACAGCAACTTCAGATGCTACATCAAATTACTTTTGCTATTCCAAGTGTTGGTTAGTCTAATCAAGTCAAAATTGGATTGCCCATATTGGCTTACTTTGCCCAGTGAGGAGAAGTTGAAGGGAGCTAAACAAGAATTAAAGAGTACAATTACTTCTCTGAAAAGAAGTTAACATAATATAACAACAATTAAGAGAGGTCAACAGAAGTAACCTTAACTTCTGCATCATTTTTTCCAAGAAAAAACTTCTCAGAGTTTCAAAAAGTTATGTGGGGGGAAAAAAAAGAAACTTCAAAAACTCTCTCCAACTCTTCTCCCACTCAATATAGGCGAATTATCACCTCCTGCTTTCCCACCAACCACCCAAAGAAAAAAGGCCAGGAGAGAGATCTACAGATGGCACCAGATTCATGTAGCATTTGAGGTTTTCCCAAGTAGAGCATCAACAATATGTAACAGATTCCAAAATACAGCTTTCAAATTTCTCTTGAGTTCACCACTAACCACTTGACTCCTGGTGGAGCGAAAAGGTCCACCACTGATACAGGAAGAACATGAAGTGGTTTTCAGATATCTAACATTACAATCATATCAGATATTCCAAAGAGGCACTAACACTTTGCAAAAGAAAAGTTCCATAAATCTTTTATCAACCCCTTGATATCTGAAAAGACACATTTGACCATGTCTCCCCCCACACCACCAATAGAATACAAACGTTCTCAATTGAAGCACAGGAGAGGATTCATTGTGCCTTATTATGCCTGGATGTCACTAGCATTAAATCATCCAAGAATAATAAGGCCCATGTAAATGTTTCTGATAAGAAAGCCCACCTCTCAAATGAAAGAGGTCAAAGAAAAATATCATAGAATTAAACATTAAACAAGAAAGAGGAATTATCTTCTTACTAAAAGACATTAGTGGATTTGTCAAGGAAGCCCAGGATTTCTTTTATACAAAAAGATCAAGTGGATATGTGCAGTGAGTAAGAGTGTAAGACAATAGGTACCTAAGACATTTTTTATCAAACCAATCTTTTAACTTAATTTTATGACAGAACCTGCCACAGCCACATGATATTGACAAAAAGGAAGATATGAAGGGAGTGGAGCACGAAGTCGAGAATAATGTGGTCACAATGAAAACAAGGACCCAGTGACCATTAACATTTTCCTTATTATGCTTCCAAGATCTCATTAGCATTTAACCATCCAAGACCATAAAGCCCATTGTAAATGTTATGGAGAAAAGAAGCCACCTCCCAAATGAAAGAGGTCAAACAAAAGGCTCTTGGAACTATAATCGAAAAAGAGAGAAAAGGGTTCTTTTCTTTATAAAGGATATGAGTTGAGTTGTTACAGAAACTCATATTCTTTAACACGAAAAAATTTAAGTGACTGCGACTACTGAAGTAAGACAACAAGCATCTAAGAATTTTTTTTTTTTTGCCGACCACTCCTTTAACTTGGTTATATGATAGTACCTAATACATGGTATTTTCATGGGAATAAAAAGGAAAAATATGAAGAGAATAGAGCACGAAGTCATAAACAATGTGGTCTACAGGAAAACAAGCACCCATCACCAGTAACAAATGCAGTCCCTCCCAGAAGCAGATTATTGCGTTACAGACATTGCAGTCAAGTTCTTATCAAAATCCATGAATACTAAAGAAAAACATAAAAACTTTGAACACCTCAGGCTTTGCTAGTAAGCTATATTTGTTTGATAATTGACTGCAGCTGAATACCAAAATTTGCATTGATAATTGACTACATGTAAATGCTCTAATTTGCCTTTTTTGTGATAATGTAAAAACTCTAACTTGTAAGACTTCTTATTTTTAATTTTTTTTTGGGATGGAAATAGACTTCCTAATGTCATTCCGTAGAGTAGTTACGTATGAATTTCAGACTTCAAATACTCAATTTTAGTTATTCTTCCAAAATTTTGCATATAGCCAATAACTCTTGTATGAAGGGGCCATTGTATCACCAAGCAATACCCTTATCAAAGACAAGAGATGAAAGGAGTCCATATTCTATATTGCAGATGTCAAATAGAACATGAAAAGCAAAAATTCTAAAGAAAAATAAGATATTCCTTCTTACTTATAATTCTAGGGAATAGAGTTCCCTTTCTGGATACTAAGAGCATTCTTCAAGAAAGGTGACCTAGTCCTACAAATGCAGGGATTCATTTTTTAAGGAGTACAAGTGTGAGTTGCAAGGTTACCAGCACAAATGCAGGCATCCGTTACATTGGAGACTCCCAATAACAGAAAATCTCTTTTTCCTGGAAGGACGCGTGTTACTTCTCTCCTTCCCAACTCACCAATTAAAAAGTAAACGTAAAAGCTACACCGGGAGTTACAATATTAACTATTTTCTACTTTTCCCTAAACAAATGAAGCATATAGCACCTTTCCAAACAATCTATTAATCACCTTTTTCTACCACTTTTGTAACCTGACTCTTAGATTGCATGACCTTATGTTGTTCAAACGGAGCAGTACCTGCAGCATCATCCTCAAACAGTCAACACCCATAATACTTGCCATCTGATTCTAAGAGCTTGTTACAGGTAAGAAAGAAACCTGAAGAGCCTAGAAGCTTCCTCTTCTTCAAAGCATGAGAATCAGATATGCTAGTAGGAGAAATACAATAAGAATACTTTACTTCAGTTCTGGCAACAGTGCCGTTTGTCACAGAAATATTTCCGTGTCTTTCCTGTGAACTACTGGTGCCTTTCTTCAGTTCTGGGAATGACCAGATTAACAGTTAAAATGAAAATAACCACGGGCCATTCGCCATTACCACTAAAACTTTACCCCACATGTCTACAAGTACTTACGAGTGCTTCTTCCTGACTGGCCATCTTTCACTGCTGTTTTAGTTGTTGTTCCTCCAAATGAAGATGATGACTGTGGCTTTTCAAGACTTCCTTTTCCTCCATGATGAAGAGGCTGCTTCTGATCCGTCTCCTTATTGAAGTAGTGCTCCACTGCAGCAGGAGTGAGGTAATAATTCAATCATTGATTTTCAATATCTAAATGCCTCAGAGGAAGAATGTGAAAACTGAAGAAACAGATATTATCACAAACTTATATATCAAGAGCTCGGAGACTACTTTCTTTAAGATATAAGCCTTCATGCATACAAGTAGGCTAAGCAAAAAAGCAATAGATATTTAGGTTCTTCCCAAAGAAATTAACGTCAGACACCTCACTTATCTGGCGAAGCAAGTAGTGTGATACTGAACAACAAGAGCAAAAGTCCACTTCGGCTAATGCCAGCACTTTCCTTATGCTGACAAGTGACAACTCACAAGTCACAACAAACACTCACATCGAGTCACTGGAAGATGTTTCTTCTTTATTAAGTACAAGATTCTGAGGATAGTTTTACAGAACTTGTTTCGGATTGAAGCTAACTAAAATGCCCACCGTGAAACATCAAAATTATCATAGACATGCATCTCATCAGATGTCCAACACTAGAGTTATTTGTTAGTAATTTATCCAGCGCCTTAATTCAAAGGAAACCTTCAGCACAATAAAAAGGCAGAATAGTTCGGGAGCCCCCGAACTTGGCAACTTTTGTTTAGTTCTCTTTAAACTTCACGTGGTCTTTAATACCCACCTTAACTTGGAAAATTGATAGTCTGACCCCCCTAGATGCTAATGTGGCAAAGAACGTGAATACACTCTCTTTTAGGCGCGTGGGAGGGAAGAAAAATAAAAAAATCAGCTTCCAAGTAGGATATTTTTAAATATTAATTGTCACGTAATCAAATATAATGATTTATTTGTTTCAATTGTATTTCTCGTTGTTTCTTCTTAATAAATATTTTATCCCAATTGTATTTTTTTTAGATACAATGAATATATGTTTCAACTATGTATTTCTTATCTTTTTTTCCAGTCCAAATCTACAAAAGTTAGTTGAATCTCCATTTATTTTAGCCAAATAAAAAGAAGTTTTGGCCAAAGTAATGAAGTTCAAACAATGTATTTTCTATAAAAAGAAAAAAATATTGTGTATTTTTATTTTCATGCAATAACTATTTATTTAAACTATGCATTTTTTTCCGAGTCAAATTCGCAAATATTTGGTCCGAATTTTACTATTTTTAGCTAAACTATTTACTTAGCCAATACATGGAGTTCCAATAACGTATTTCTTTTAATTTTTTTAGATGCAATTATAATATGTTCTAATTGTGTATTCCTTCTTTTCCAGACCAAATATGTAAAAGTAACTTGATTAAAATATTATTATCTTTAGTCAAATAAAAAACTATAGTTAAAATAACGTTGTTTCAAGGTTTTTTTTTTAAACAAATTTTGGCACGCAAAAAAATTGATTTAGATAGTTGGTGGACTTTTATATATATATATATATATTTTATAGTAAAAAATGCAACATGGATGTGCGTGCGTCACACTCCCATGGATTGTCAGCGTCCAGGGGGATCGAGGCTATGAAATTGCCAAGTTCAGGGGGTACTAAAGACCACGTGAAGTTTAAGTGGGAACTAAACAAAAGTTGCCAAGTTCAAGGGGATCCCGAACTATTCTGTCCAATAAAAACTTGCAAGGAACTTATACCACTATGTTCATCACTAGAGCTCCTTAAATGCAAGCACTAGAACCATGACTTAAAGCAGCCATAGTGCAAGGCAAAAACTGAAAGAAATATGACCTTGCTCTAAAATCCTTGAATATTGAAGAAATACCACATCAGAAGGTCATACAGCTTAAGAGAGTCCTAGGAAAACCAACTCAACCAGATATGCATCAGACTAAAGGCAGCACTGATGCGTGAATGGGTGACCAAAAATAGGCTAAAACCAAATGTCTATGAATGGGATGCACCAAGAACCCATCATCATCTGTTGCTATTCTTCCCATTTCCCACCTCTACATAAGATGCAACCTGAATTCTAGCAATACTGTATTCACATGCCACAATTTGACAAAAAACACGGGAGTGAAGTGGTATATTAAGAAGCTCTGCTATCTATTGCAAAATCATCTTTCATGTCCAGTATTCTTTCGTCCTATCAAACGAAAAATGATATCAAGAGATGAAAACTTCCTGAAACTAGAATGTTCATGGGGGAGATCAAAGAAAAGCCAATGAGTGCCTGAGTCAGTTATATTAGAGTCCTACCCCTTTTAACAGAAATGTTGTGAGAAATTCTTTATGGTATGTTGGTAACTCTCTCCTTGTACTCGTTTTATTTCTTCATTCAGACCATGTCCTCGAATGTATAACATAATCTAAAGCAACTATAAAACTGAGGTTCCCAGAAAGTTAAACAATTGTCTTCGAATAAGTTACACAAAAGTTTGAGAAAACAAAATTCGGAAAGATAGTATCATATGTTAAAGTAGTTCTATAGAAATAAACCAAAATATACGACACAACAATCTAAGAAGCAGGAACACTACTAAATGCTGTTTCATCCAACCATGAATGCACAATGCTGTAGAACTGGATGAAACCAAGCAACAGAGTTATAGTTACTACCTTCAATTTGCGCTATTGAATCTGGAAATTCCTCAGATATCTTGCGAGTTCTGACATCAAAGGTGCGATAAAAGACAAAGTCAGCTGTGTCCAAATCTTCGTCTTTTGGCTGAGGGTTCCTCCTATCATTTGATATGCAGACAACATTGCATTTACCAGTGATGGCTTCCTGCAATAAAATCTCAAAGAGGTCATGCCATAACATCTGAAAACAGATTATATTTAAAATATATTTTTTTAAAAGGATGAGTGAAACAATTACCACACGATTACAATTTGAAAGCCCTATGCCTTCTCCTGAAGCCAAGAGTAACTCATTGTCAAGCAGCTTGATATTACCCAACCAATGAGTTACTTCGGTG